CAGGACACTGTGGGCAGAGGCAGGTCACTGGGGGGCACCCCTGAGGTACCCACAGCCCTGGTGGAGAGAGAGGGACGGGTCCCTCTGTGATTCCTGGCTTCCTCCTGCCCTCCAGTGGAGGCTGCGGGAGGCTCCGGGACTGCACCGCATTCAGGGCCAGCTTCCTGGTGCCCATCTTTGTGCCTGGCACTAGCCCTGGTTGTTTGGTGTCCCCTACCCAGCTCCTTGCTGCCCACATGCCCTGATCTCTGTGGCTGGGAACCAGTGCCCTGCCACACTGGAGCCCCATCTTGGAGCATCACCCACTCGTGTCTGCAGAAGCGACGCTTCTCTTCTTGCTTTCCCATAGCCTGGTGCAGGGCAATCACCAGTGTTTCCCCTGCTTGTCCCCAGGTGCCTTGCCCATGGCATGTCCCTGTACCTAAGCAGCTCGGTTCAGCCTGGGTAGTGTGACAGGGTGCCCCTGGGGTGGGCACATCACATCCCTGTGGGGCACAGAGCTCTGCCAGCCCAGGTCACCCCAGGGCTCCTGGTTGCGTGGGTGCCAATAGCCACCACCACCACGTGGCCTGCAGCAAATGCCCAACACTGTCCCTTATTCAGGGCCTCAGGCTCACGTGGCCTCCACGGGACAACTCTGCCCTCTGTTGAGCACTGCACGGCATGGAATTGGAGTGGGGGATGTGAACATGGGGAGGCAGTGGAAGAGCTGTGCTGGAGCCCCACAGCACCTGGTGTTGGGCCCCACTGCCACCCCATGTGGCGCGCTCCCCAGCCCCCAAACCCGCTCACCTTCAGGCTGTGGGTTGGCCGTGACGATGCACTTGAGCAGCACCTCCGCGCCCACAGCCACCGCCGTGTCTTGAATGGGGATCTCAAAGATGGGAGCTTCCAGGGGGTCTTCGCCAGCTGACACGTAGGAGTCGTCGGAGGACTCTGCATAGGGAGAGATGAGCCATGTGGTTGTGAGCGGGCAGGGAGGTCTCTCACAGGCAGAAAACGCAGGTCCTGTGCAGTGCATGCGCTGAGCGGTGGTGCCCTCTGCCCATCCCTGCCCTGCACAGAGAGCTGGCTGCTCGCGCCCCATGGTGTTACGGGGCTGGTAACAGGTCCCTGGTCACTGCCAGGAGGAAAGAGCTGCAACAGGCTCAGCCACAGAGTGGTGGCAAAGCTGGGGACGACAGAGCAGAGAGCTCCTCAAAGATGGGGCAGCTCTGGGAACCAGAGGCGGTGGCAGGGGAGAGCAGGAATAGAGCAGCAAGGCCGTTAGAGTGTCCTCTGGGTACACTTGGGGATCATGCCCTGTCAGTACCACCAAGTGCAGCCTGCCCGGGCCAAGATGTCACAGACGGCCTGTGGCAAGCAGGAAAGCCATGCCCCTACCTAGCTCTGGAGAGGTGGGCCTGGCTCGGCGCCCCTTCGCCTTGCTCCGCGTGCTCCTGCCTTCCTGAGCTGTCCGCACACTCTCTTTCTTCTCTGCCACCTTCGTCTGCCTTCTCTCGGGCTCCCGGGCTGTGCCATGCCCAGGCCAGCTCCTCTCCAGGCGGGTCTCCTGCTCCGTGCCTGGCTTGGCCCAGGGCAGGAACCGCACCTCCGCGGGCGCCTCCGGCCGCCGGCACAGCCTGTGGGGCACAGCCAGCCTGGCGGCCAGGGCTTCGCTCCCCTCCGCGGGGATCCTGGCTCCTCCGGCGGAGCCCCCATCCGGCGTGGCCCCCCTGGCCCGCCCCCCCCCTCCAAAAGAGCCGTCCGGCCCCGCGGCGTGGCTTGTGCTAACAGCCACTGCTCCTTCCTCTTCACTTCCCCGGCACCTTCATGCTGCAGGCTTCTCTTGGCGCCCGCCTCCTCCACCTCAGCCAGGGGGCCGCTCCGTGCCAGGCCCTTGCGCCCGCGCGGCGCCTCCGGCTCCTCGTTGGGCCCCACCAGCGCCACACTGGACAGCTCGAGGTGCTGGATGACGTGCGTG